CTCAACATCCTCACCAACTAAATTTTCAGCTTCATAACTTCTAGGAGGAGTCACTTGCATATACTGATCATAACCCCCTGCACTACTAGATTCATAATCATTAGGAGTAGCATGGAAATCATTTTGAGTAGTATCCACCTAAATTAGAGTCAATTCAACTTCATTATGTTGTTGAGGTTCACTTGTACTAGCCTACGTTATATGTCACAACTGGCATTTTTGTCAGGAAACCCTGTAATCATGTAAACGTCATCTATGATAATACTTGTAACTCTAACTTGACACCATAGACTCTGTTCATTCTATGACAACAAACTAGATCAAAATTCACAAGTGAAGTTCAAAAATCTACACAAAGCATCCAAATAGTCAATTGGGAAGTTGAAAACCCTAGAAATCCAGGTTCAAGTTCATTATGGACTAGGATTTCTTTATTGGACCTAATGGACCAATAAGCATTCAATTCAATTATATTGGGCTTAGAAACCCTATTTGGATTCTAAATGGACCCAATACAAAAATCTCTAACATTTTGGGTCATTTGGGCCTAGAATAATTCATTCTAATCCCAATGGGCCTTAGTGGGCCATAGCCACTCCAATCACCCTAAAGAGCCATAAAACTCCCTTTCTTTCATTTAAATGGGTCGTGAACCATCTAATGAGCCCAATGGGCCGAAAAATAATATTGGGCCTATAAGATTTTATGAAGCCAAGAGTTTGTACCCAACACCATTTTCTTCATCTCACTCGGCCCATTTTTAGCCCAAATGAATAAAATAAAACAAAATTAAAAGTAAATTAGGAGGATTAACGAGAGTTAGCCACCTCTTTATTGCATGGTGGATCTCCATGCACATCTCCTCACCCCTTCTCTCCTCCTTCTCTTTTTTCTTCTCTTGGTCATAAACATCAAACACACACACACACACACACACAAACTTCACTTTCAAACACTCTAAAATCTCTCAAGAACACTCCTTCCTTCCATCCAAATTTTTGAGATCTCTAAGTGTTTCAAGAAGATCTTCACCAAAAATCACAAATCTTGAACCTCCCCCCCCCCCTAAGTTCAAGATCTACTCAAGAAAGCTTGCTAGGAAAAAAATATTCTTCCGCTTCTTCTTCAAACCCCTTTTAGGGTCAACTCTGGTCAATAGTCAAAGTCAAAGTGAATATCCTGGTCAAATTCAACATACTGGTTGACTCAACTCGTCGAGTTCCATTATCCATAAACCCTGAAAATCTTGATCCAACTCGTCGAGTTCCTCCTCATACAAAATCGGGACATTTCGCTCACAACTCGCCGAGTTCCTCCTTGAACTCATCGAGTTCTTCAGTCTTCAACTCTCAAAACCATGTCCAACTCGTTGAGTCGTCTCCTAGACTCAACGAGTTTTCCAGTAACAAAAAATGTTGGGAGACCACGACCCAACTCGCCGAGTTGGATGAACAACTCGTCGATTCCCCCTTGGTCTAAATCCATCCAGTCACTTCCAGTCGAGTTCAATGCTTCTAAAGCATAGATCTGGTCCTTTAGGACCAAGTTACCACGTAAAGTTGCTAACTTTACATCCATGCATGGTGTCATGAAGCTAGAAACACCAAAACCAAGCTATATAAGAGATCTAGGGCATAGGGAAGGGCTAAGGCTTAATAAAGCTGGCAACTTAAGCCTCATAAGCTCATGGGTGCCTAGATCTGAAGTCACATCTTCATGATAGACTCAAATTCCGAAAATGACTCCAGTATGGCCCAAAAGCAACAAAATACAACCCTAAATGAAGATCTAGGCAATGAAAAGCCAAGGTATCAACTTTATACCTCAAATGAGTCAGAAATGCAGCTCAACTTCCAGATCTACTGGCTCCTTCTTGAATCCTCAAGCTTCTTCTTCCTTCTTAAACTTTAAAATCACTAAGAACACACAACAATGGCTCAAAAACACTCAAAGGTGGATTAGGGTTTCGTAGGTAGGGTTTGGAGTGATGGAGTTTGCAAATGAGGCCAACCTTTGGACGTTAAGGTGTTTAAATAGGATGCAAACCCTAAAAATTAGGGTTTCACTCTAGCATCCCTACTCGTCGAGTTGAAGCTCTTAACTCGTCGAGTAGACTTCAAGTCCTGCGTCCAAGAATTTTGTTCCTACTTGACGAGTTTGGGGCCTCAAACTCGTTAAGTCCCTTTGCAAAAATGAGTAATTCTTATTTAAAATACATACCAGAAACAAACGTTACATAAGCTGAGGGCGGAGATAGCACTACATACTAATTATGTGGGCTTGGGAGCAAATCAGACATAAGCTAAGGGCCGGGAGGGCAATCCAAACTTATCTTGTGGGCTCAGGGGTTAATCCAATCCGATGACTATGGACCCTAAGGTAATCCAGCCCGACGGTTGTGGGCCCAATATGCATGTTATTATATGTTTATGTGTGGGGGTACTTTGGTGGAACTCACTAAGCTTTGACATATAGTTTGATTTTATGGTTTCAGGTACATCAAGGGACATGGGCAAGGCGAAGGCGTGCTTATACACATCATCCTGGATTTTTATATGACTTATGATTTTAGAATACTCTGATTCATGATTATGATTTTAAGAAACTATGTTTTTATGTAAGTTATGGATTTTGAAATGGTTTTAAAAATGAAAAATTTTGTCATGATTTTGGGATGTTACATGTTCAAAAAATACATTTTACTCTGATTGATTTTAGAACAAATAGTTGTATGGATTTGATGGTTTAAAATGAAAATTTAAGTTGATATTTTTGGGATGTAACACCTAAATTTTTATCATAAAACTTTATAGAATAATCAAAAAGTGAAGAAATCATACACTTAATCGAGCAATATGAACCTACAATTGCAGTAGGACTGAGCAACCAATCATAGTGAGATGAATATGCATGAACCAGAGATGCATAATTGGCGTTGTACCAAAATTTATGAATGAAAGATTATAGTAATATAACATAACAATGTTAATAGTAAAAAATTATATGCATAGTTCTTTTTTCATCTCTCTTTTCAATTAAATAGTAAATAAATCATGAAGAAGAAAATGACTATTTTAAACGAGTTAAAGATGCACACTTCATAAATGGATTTTTAAACTTGTGTGCTAACTTAACAGTCTTACACAGGTAACAAATATGAAAGTTTGACCATTACAACCAAAAAAAATTTAAAAACACCACATAACAATTAAAATTCCAAGTGTGTTTGGTATATTTAGTGGGTGTTTGAGATAACTTTTTTAAAATAGTTTTTTAGCATTTCAGCGTTTCAAAAAGCTAATAAGCTAAAAAAAGTGTTTTGTATTTAAAAAGCGTTTTTTAAAACAGTTTTTTGGATAGGAAAAAATAAAACTTTCAAAAAGCTGGAAAATCCTATATTTTGTAGCATTTTAAACCATTTTACTCCTTAAAAACAAATTTTTTTATCCAAACACTTTTTAAAATCAGCTTTTTCTAAAAATCCATAAACTAATAAGCATTTTTCTTAAAAATAAAAAAAAATAACCTTAAAAGCAACATTATGAACCTGATTAACAATTTGAGGTTTAAGATGTTCAAAATCACTATGCATCTATCCTTCCCAACATATAAAGATTACTGGCAGTCCTTATGCCCATAACCATGTCCCACCCACTCCGTAAACCTAGCCACGATGCAATATGTCAGAATTCCACTAAAAAGGCTCCTTCCAAAACTCAATCACTCAAAAACAGAAAAGAAATTACAGACCAGATAAAGAAAGTCGAAAATTGATTATCGACCTTTGGTAAATCGATATAGAAGTGTGGAATAAAAGATAGAGAAGAAGGATTAAAACTCACCTCCAAAACAATTGGTATTATTAGCCAGCTGATAATCCATTGTGGACGATGTTATTCAACCCCCTTCAAAATCTTTGAAACCTGCAAACAAAACAAATAGAAAATAGGGTAAAATCTTTGAAACCTTCAAAATCATAGGTTCAGTGAGTGTAAGATAATCCGATAAAGTGACTCAGACTTGGAATTCGGCGATTGAAGTGGGCGGTGGTGAGTAAATACGTCTGTGATTGCGAGGGAAATTGCGATTGAAGTGGGGGTGAGGGAAATCGTCATTCTGCGGGTGTTTTTAGCATTTTTCATCGTTGGAAAAAAGGGCAATTGTGAAGATGAATAATCGATTCTAAGGTGGAATAGAGAAAACAAAAAAGAAGCGTTGGGAATGCCGGTGGATGGATCTAGAACAAAGAAGCGGTGGGAAACAGCAAATCTAATCGAAGGCAATGGCGGTGGAGGGATCCAAATTGGCCGGCTGAAAAGTTACGTCATCAACCAACCGATGAACAGTAACCGGCTGGCTCTAGGTTACTGTTCATAAGCCTCCTCAAGATTAATATGTATATATAATTTTGTCATCTAGTATTGATTGTATAAAGTGAGCCCTAATTCTGTTATAAGGCAGTAGTAGTGAGAACAACACTTCAATTTTGGCTTGTCTAATATGTCGGGCCCCACCTTAAGGAGTATTTAAGCTTGTCTTTGTTTTAGAGAAAGGTAGGTAAGAATTATTTTGTAGAATGAACTTTGTTCTTGGAGAGGAATGAATGGGAAAAACATAATCTATCTTATCCGTTCATAGTTACATTATCAGTTCTTATTCAATAATGTATCAGGGTCTTTAATTGGTATCATAGCACTTGATGTTGGGAAAGAAATGACAAGGAGGTTAGACAACTTGGAGGAAAGATGATAATGCATACAACTTCAAATGCAGAAAAACAAATAAAAAGGAATACAACTTTTAAGAGTGTTCAACATTTCGCACAAAATCCATGTGTACTGCTGAATTTTTTAACTTTGTGCAAGGCATTAGGCATGAAAAAATAAATGTCATCTTTTAGAATTGCCAAGTCATGGAAGGTTTCAACTCGAATACAACAAACTTAGCTCCTCTTGCCTCTTGGGTACCTCTGGAATACTGCCTTTGAGTTTAAGCTTTCTTTAACGCTGTAGCCCACAAATGCTTCTTGAAAACGTCTCAAATTTTGTGCAAGCACACTGACCCTCAGAAATAAGCTTCTCAATACCTCTAGTCAGTGAGGGTATATCTTCCTTATGAAAACATGTAAACTCAAAGTATGGAAAATTATTGTCAGGGTGAAGTGGGCATCTTTCTAGGGTGAAATGTAACTCAGCTAAAGGACCAACCTCAAGTGATTCATGCACTCTACCAGAAGTATCATCCCTTCTGTTAAAAAATAAAGATCTAAACCCCAAGCAACCATTTAAGTTGAAGTACACAATATTTTTTAAACAACCCATGGGAGCATGAAGTTGGGCCAAGTAATAACATTCTTTAAGATGTAACTTCTTGAGATTTGGGGTTAGCCCAAGGTCAAGGGTCCACAACTTTAAATGGTCAAGCCCAAGGGATACAATCTTATTACATTCATCAACCACTTGAATTTCCTCCAAATAATCACATTTCACAAGATCTAACTCCTCGAGATTTGGAGTATGCCCAAGATGAAAGATCCTCAACCATGAATTAGTGAATTTAATGGTCCTGAGATTTAGACATCTATGGGGCAAGTGAAGGTTTACCAAAACTTTGCATTCAGAAAGAGATAACTTACTGAGATTGGGAACCCGCCTGAGATCTAGGGTCCTCAACTTTAAATTGCTGATGTCGATGCATGTGAGTATTGGGCATTCATAAATGCGAAAAATTTCTAGACTGGTGCATTTATGAAGATCTAACCTCTCAAGATTTGGACTTGGCCCAAGGTCAAGGGTCCTCCACTTTAAACCTCTAAGATAGAGGGACCTGAGCTTTAAACATTCGTTGGCCATGTGAAGTTCTTCCAGATCATAACAACTTCTAAGAACTAAATACTCGAGATTCGGAGTCAGCCCAATATCAAGGGTCCTCAAATTTGAATGATCGACATTGAGGGATCTTAGATTTAGACATCTATCAAGCATGTAAAGTTCTACCATATCACCACTTACAAGCAACAAGTTCTCAAGATTTGGAGTCAGCCCAAGGTCAAGGGTCCGCAACTTTACATCAAAAAGTTCAAGAGATCTGAGTTTTAGACATTCCCTGGGCATGTAAAGTTCTACCAAACCACCATATCGTTGAAGCCTCAACGTCTCGAGATTTGGAGCCAACCTAAGGTCAAGGGACCTCAACTTTGGACCACTGAGGAAAAGGAATTTGAGCTTGTTAAAAACCTAACATCAGCAAAATAACAAAATGAATATTGTTATAAGAACAAATCAATGGATATATAACATTATAATGAATTATGCCAAAACAATTAATCAACCACAATTCTACCTTTCTTTCTCCCCCTTCCCAAAGTTGTACAATACCGCTGTTAGCCATATGAAGCGCGACAAGATTATTTGCTTCAAATGTTTCGGGTAAAGACCTAAAAGGGTAATTGTACCATTGCAAATATCGTAAAGAATTTGGAAAGTATAGACTGACCTTATTAAATTTCCAATTACAACACAGAAATCCTAAAGCATTTAAAAAGTTTGGCACGAGTTTATCATTCTCCAAATTCAAGTGAAGATCTACCACATCAAGAAACCACAGTTCCTTCATCTTTCTAAGACCATTCATAAAAACTTTCGCATTGAATCTCAATGGAAAGAAGTGAATGCCTTTTGTTGCTTCAGTACCCTGTAATTCAAAAGAAGCCACCATGAAACTTGTATCTTAACAAAGTTAAAATGTGTTAGTATTCTCCAACTTAAATATAAATGTGATCCTTAGTCCCTTACCAAGTCATTCACCAATATATTTTCAATTTCTTTGTAATTCCACAATCGGCTGTGCTGGTTAGGCATATCGGGATGCGAACGACGAATAATATTTTTGGCCATTTCTTCTAAATGGTCATGCATGCCCACACGTTCATCAAAATCATCATTAATAGTTATGAGACATGTTTGCTCAAGAACCCTTAACCCAATTCTAGCATGAAATCCACGGCTTTCAAGTGCTATTATGACTGTCTCTTTCTGCCAACCTTTCATTATGGTTGCAACATCTAGGAATATTTCTTTGTAATCGTCGTCTAGACCAATATAGCTTAATTCCAATTTTTTCTGGGTTTCCTCTAAAGGAATTGTTTTTAGTCTGGCCAAGGCATCTACCCATTCAAGCTTACTTTTACCACACAGAGACGAACCCAAAACTTTGATTGTCAAGGGAAGACCAGCAGCATAACATAAAACTTGTCTTGAGAGCTCTTCGTATCCTTGAACTGGAATCTCTTTCCCAAATGCATACCTACTAAAGAGCCAAATTGCTTCCTTATCTGACAACAGATTGACATTATGAATCGACTTTACTCCATGTGCTACAAGCACTTGCAAATCTCTTGTTGTAATAATAATCATACTTCCCGACTTAAACCAATTAGGGTCACCAGCTAACGCCTCAAGTTGGTCTAGATGATCCACATCATCTAGAACAAGAAGAACCTTTCTACCGCGCATCATCCATGACATCATGTTTTTCCCCTCACATTCACTGCCTACGTGGATGCCTTTATCATTTAAAACATTTGAAAGGACTTTATTTTGCAACAACTCCAAACCGGACAAAGAAGCATTCGAAACTTCCTTGACATTCTCAATAAAAGCTTTGCCTTCAAACTGAAAGGATATTTTATTAAAAATAGTTTTGGCCAAAGTTGTCTTCCCACCACCTCCTATCCCTATGATCCCGATCATGGAAACATCATTAGAAGCCACTCCTGAAGATGATATAATATCATTGATCCGGGTCTCCATGCCTACTAAGTTTTTACCAATGCAGACCTTAATGGACCGTAACTCTAATGAAAGCTTTTCAATGATTTGTCTGATGAATTTGGCTTCATGCCTGTATATTAGAGAGTATTCAATTAGTTTACTCAAATCCCACCTAAACGATCTAAAACATACAAACGCATATGAGGCGATAACCTCGTAATATAACCATGCATATTTCATGTTTAATCTTTCGACTCACAGACTGAGTTAAGATTAGACAATCCAGGATATGAGGTCATGTCCAAGCCTTGGACATCCAAGGTAAACGTAGATTAGAAAGAATATTGTAGAGATATGATGAAGGAATTACCCATTAGCAGTGTTTTTCAACTCCCACCCTGCCAGATCAGCTGCTTCTTTGAGAGCCTCTCTCCATTTCCCAGCAGCCTCTTCCTTTTTGTGTCTGGCAAAGGCTTCTCCAACTTCCCCACTCTGTTTGTGGACTTCACAGGGTTCCACATCATAGAAGACTGGGTAAGCAGTATGCTTGGTTGTCTTGTGACAATCCATTATTTTCACAAGCTCATCTAAGCACCAAGATGAAGAGGCGTAGTTCTTTGAGAAAACAATGATGAAGTATTTTGAGGCTTCAATGGATCCCATGAGCTCATCGCTGATACGTTTCCCTTTCTTGATTCTCTGGTCGTCCTTGTAAGTGTAAATGTTGTTCTGCTGAAGAGCATGATAAAGATGATCAATGAAGTTCTTACGGGTGTCTTCCCCACTAAAACTCAAAAACACATCATACTTGAAGCTCTTAGGAAACAGATGAAGTTGAAGAGGATGCCATTGAAGGTATGCTTGAAGGATCCTATACAATAATATCTATGTTGGGACAAATCTATATGAAACAATTGCAAATAAACTTGGATGAGATGAACCGAATGACCTCGATCAAGGGTGTAAGTTAAGAAAATATGGTTCTAGCAATGGCTAAATCAAAATGTCAACGTTATCAGTTTGTAAAGAAAGTCTATGGAAGTAGGTGGAGACAAAAGCCACTTGATTGGTAGAAGAGGATACGATTATTTGGTTAAAAGAAAAGATAACCAATGGAAATTATGCAACAACATATTATACATGAGAATATGCAACCTGTTGTTGAAACGGTAAGCATCCAATATTCTCATTTTTAATTCACTCGTAGCTCACACCTGCCAGGCTTTTTATAATAATTAATAATAAATTGAGTACAGGAAATGGTAAAAAGAACCGAAGCAGATCATAGTTTCGCCCACCTTTTAACTTTCCGCGATGAAGACGAAATCGAACGACTAGTGAAGCTTTGTGATGATCGATTGAAAACCAGACGGATGAAAACTATCATCACCGTGATTGGATGGTCGGAGACGAGAAACTCGACATTGAAGAAGCTAAAGCAGACCTGCGTATCAGAGTTCTTACCTTTGAAGTGCAAAGAGTGCTGCTTTAATCTTAGTATTAATTATAGGTTAATTCAAAAAATAAATAAATAAATATAGGGGCTATAATTTTTAATTTATAAAAAATAAGAAAAATAATGAATTATTGAAATTGAAATATTTTTTTTATCTTTTAAAAAAGTTAAACAAATAATTTAAATAAATAAAAAATAATAATAATAAGCTTTAATTTAAAATTTTAAAAATTAAAAGAAACTTATATTCATTTATTATTATACTTATTGTAATTGTTACATTAAAATATTATTTATTAAAATAAGAAAACTAAAACTCATGACATGTGAAAAAAATTAATTCAAAATGATCATAAAATAACATTTAACAAATTAAATGACAGTCCGACATATAGTAAAAAAAATCTTCATTTATTAAAGTAAGAAGATTTCTTTATTTAATATCAATATTCGATTTTTTTTAAACGACAACTAATTGTATTCCTATATATATATATATATATATATATATATATATATATATATATATATATATATATATACACACACACACACACGCCTCTTCAAGAAACTTGAACAATAACCTCCCCTTTAAAAGAATTATTTTTTACCGTTAGGCATCAATAATTAATTTAAAATTAAAATTTCGCTATATAAAAGATAGATTGCGTTACTATTGTTTGGTCAAATTTTAGACGAGTCGGTATGGGCCTCGACGAGAAGCAACGAGACCCACGTGACACTCTGCGACGCCGTCATAACGCGGTGAACACCCCCCCCTAGCCGTTGCTTCTCGTCACCCGGAACTCGTTGCCTTGGAAACGAGTTGTAACGCCAAAAAAAATATACGTTGCACATTTTTTTACCGTTTAATAACGGTCCATTTCAAAAAAAAAAATTACCTTTTTACCATTTATATATATACATACACTTTATTTCAATTTTTATATACCTTTCTCTCATTCTCTCTATATCTTTATACACATTTTCTCTCATTCTTTCTATATCTATATCTTTAATTCAAAAAATGGAGCAAAACCCAAACACCCCCCCCCCCCTCCATCATCAAACCCAAACATAACCTCGCCTCTCGGATTTGCGGGGTACGAAAATTATTTTAACCTTTTGTCGTCTCAAGGTTCACCACAAATACCATACCAAGGTGCCGCTTTCAATCCCGCTTCACCGCCACTGCAATTTCCCAACTCACCTTACATTCAACGAAATCAATTTGGTCAAAACCCAAATTTACAACAAAATCTTTTCTCTACTTTTGGTTCGATGCAACAAACAACCAATCAACCGTCACCTACAACACAACTAACAGTTCAAGTGGAAGCAGGTTGTAGTAGGAAAGGGAAAGGGAAAGGAAAATCAAAAGGGAAATCTATAGCGGTGGAATCTGAAAATGCAGACGTTCCACAATGGTGGACACCAGAGGAGGAATACGCTTTGACGAAGGCTTGGTGTGCTACTTCAAAGGACGAACTTCGCGAAATGGAATGAAAAAAGGAGCTTAATGGGGGGGGGGGTGCTCGACAAGTTTCACGCTATTTTAAAAAAAAAAATCCGTATCGCAACAACGACATGTTGAGCAGCAAATGGGGTATGATAAGTAAGCGGTGCAGCAAATTCAACGGTATTTACAACCGGATTGCGGCGCAACAACAAAGTGGAACCAACGACTTTGATTTGTTCAAAGCTGCTAAGGAACAATATCGGGTCGAAATAGGTCATGTTTTCGGCTTTGAAAAATCATGGGAATTGTTGCGAGCGGATCCAAAGTGGAATAAAACGCCTATATCGTCGGAGGTTCAATCCAAAAGGTCTCGCAATTCTAGTTCGGTCGACGTGTCGGACACACGGACTAACATCGACCTAAACACCGATGACGATGAGATCCCGGATGATATCCAAGAAATATCCCCACCACGACGACCGCCCGGACGCGACAAAGCGAGACGCGCTGCAAGACATGCGAAGGAGGTGGAGACGAGAGCAAAAGATGCGGCGGAAATGAGAGCAAAATTCGACGAACATAATTTGTTAATAAAAGAAAAAAATGAGTTGAAACGTCGTCATTTGGAATTTCTGGAAAGGCAGACACGGGAGAAGCAAGAGCAAAAAGAGAGGGAACTAATGACACAACAGTTGTCAATTCTTCGAACAAGTGAGGAGGGTTTAGCACCTGCTGATCTAGCGGTGCTATAAGCAATGAAAGAACAAATTAGGAAAAAATATTTGGGTTGATTAGGATTTGTGTGTGGTATTTAGTTGTGATTTCAATGTTATTTTAGTTATTAATTTAGGTTTAAAATTATGTTTTTTTAATTGTAATCGGATTTTAGATTTTAAATATTATGTCTTTTTTTTTTTGTTTTTAAAATTATATGTTTTATAAAAAAAATATATTAGTTATTAAAAAAATGCAAAAGAAAAAAAAAACAAAACAAAAAAAAGGTAAAAAAAAACGAAATAGTAAAAAAAATACAAAAATAAAAATATTTATTTTCAAAATGTTGGTGTTACATCTTGTTGCATTTTGTTGCCCATTTTCCCACTTGGTGTTATAACACCACTTGCTTATGTGGCATGTGAGGTGGTGTTGCACCTTGTTGCCCACACCCAATGCTCTTACACTTTTGGTGTCTCATGGTCCTTGCTCCCTTGGTAGATATAAAAAAGACTAAATTACCATTTTTTTAATTTTTTATTTTCTTTTACCAATTTATACTTTTTATGAATATATATAAAATAATCTCTCTCTCTCTCTCTCCCTCTCTCTCTCTCTCTCCCTCTCTCTCTCTCTCTAAGAATTTTCAACATAGTTGTGGGCCTTTGGCGGTTGAATTGTGTGAGGATGTGCCTCAAGGAAAAGGGAAGAATGGGTGGTCTTTAGATTGCTTGGTAAGGGTTCAAGGATATGAGAGCCTACATGGTTCAAGTGGAGGATACTACTTGTTTGGAGGAAGTTGTCTCAAAAGGTGAGTGTCTATGGGTTAAAACGATGTTAGAAACGTAGACTGTTCGAGGGCTTGATTTGTGGCCTACATGTTTACTCGAACACTTAGGGTCGATGAATACGAAGTAAAATTTTCACTCGTAATGTAACATTAGAAGTTTTTCAGGGCTCAACCATAGGTGTTTTTTGGTTTATCAGATGGTGGATTGCATCGATTGACATTGCGGATCTGGGTACTATTTTGAGCATTAGCCGAAGCACGAGTGCATAAGGTTGTATAGGCCTGATAGGCTTGCTAAGGTTGGTAAGAGGTTTGATAGAGATCAAGGTGAAGTTGGGCTAACATCAAGGTGTTTAGTATGGTGACTCGAAAGGTTTTGGTTGGATGTGGGTCAGTTATCCATAGCATCCGTTTTTTAGTTCAAGTATAAAGGTTGGACTTAGTTTGTACTTTGTAAGCCAACGTAGAGATTGTCGGTCAAGTCACAAGTTGCTTAAAAGTTAAAACCAAAGTCTAGCGTTAAAAATGACAATATCCTATGGTCTAGGGACTATTGGGTAAATAGTCAAAATGTATTTTTACTTTAGCATGTTAAAAGAAATCATCAAGAGAGAGAGAGAGAGAGTATTTTAAGTTCTAGTTTTCTTCTGTGTCTTTGTATAATGGTTATTCTTAATTATTGTTTCAATATAATGGTTTTTATTAGTTTGAAATGAAGTAACGGCCTTGTTTCATGTGTTAAAAATTACTTTTATTATGGACTACCTTAAAACACATGCATCTTCATATAGATACACTTTAGAATCTTTTTTACTTATTTGACTAGTAAACTAGTTTTTTTCATTTTACTTATTAACCAGTTAGATACTAAACGTAGTTGATCCAATTTTTGGTAAGTACATTTAAAATTATATATAAACATGCCATCCTTTTTTTTATTGTTAAAAGATTTTAAACGACTGATAGTTGTATACAATTATACGCAAGATATAAATTTCAAAACTTATTTACTTTTTTGTTATTTTAAGAAAATACAAGATCCTTTTCATTGTGAGAATGGGAAATGATATCTTAAATCATTTTGGTAGAAGATGAAAACGGGGGAAAGTGTGTATTAAACTACAGGAACAGAAGCTAATGAATGGAAAACACTAATTAAGATATTTTTAGTAGATTTTGAACGATAAGCATACTACTTGCTGACTCACATCCAGAAAAAAATGACAACAGCCATCCTTGAGAACGTGAGAGTGCTTATCAAACAAACAAACAGAAATTTTGATAAGTTAGGAGAACACAAGAAGTTCCTTTTCAAGTTCATCTTGGATCACCTGCAATGCATGCAAATAGTTCTCTAAATTTATAAAATACTCAGATTACATGAAATGATCGATATAAACCAAAAAGTTTTCGATATATATCTACTTTTATTGGTGCGTACAGAATACTTCCTTTTGAATTTAAGCTTTTTTTGATGTTGTACAAATGCTTCTTGAAAATGTCTCAAGTTTTGTGCAAGCACACACATCTTCAGAAATAAGCTTCTTAATACTACTAGTCAATGAAGGTAAATCTTCTATATGAAAAGATTTAAACTCATACTCTGGAAAATGAAGTTTCAGGGTGAAATAGGCAACTTTCAAAGGTAAAACGTATCACAGCTAAAAAATCAACCTCGAGTGATTCATCCTCACTACATGAAGTATCATCCTCCATGTGAAATGAAAAAGATCTAAACCTCAAACAACCACTTAAGTCTAAGTACACAAGATTTTTTAGACATCCCATGGGAGCATGAAGTTCTACCAAGTTATGACAATCTTTAAGAACTAACTTCTCGATATTTGGAGTCAGCCCAAGGTCACGGGTCTTCAACTTTGACTACAAATGTTGAGGGACACAAGCTTTTGACATTGACCGATCAAGCGAAGTTCTTCCAAATCATAACAATTTTCAAGATCTAACTCC